ATAAACAAGGTAATATAAATAAATAAATAGCTTTAGTTTTTCCGTGGGTATTTGCTTTTGCTGTGAGGTATTTGGTTTTTGCCGTGAAGTATTTGGTTTTGCCGTAAGGAGGGGGGCATTGGGGTATACTAGAAACCGCAAAACCGAAGAAAAAAATCATCCAAAACCGGAAAACCGCAAAAAAATTCGGCCAAAACCGAAAACTGCATATAAAACCGTCAAAAAGCGATACAATGGTGACAAGTGGGGCATACAGGACCATACAGAGCAAACTAAGCTAACACTAATTTCACCAAAGTATTTGTGAATGTCATGGACTTTGTCTGAAGCCTTCGTATCTTTTTGTGTCTGCTTAAATCATAGGCTTTGTTTCTGCCGCTCTCTCAAGCCCAGACTTTGCGGCTCAATTTCCGAAAAGCTGCTAGTTATGGAGCCTAGTTAACTTAGGAGAATTTGCACACAAGTCCTCTTTAGAATTGCAATTTTGCAGTTGCAAAAAGCTATAGCTCTGGAAACTTCAATTGAAAATCTCTAATCGAACATTTCCATTTGATAATTAACACGTCAAAGTTTGGAGACTCGATTGTCTAACATGCGATTGCACTGAGCTGAGTTGACACTGAGGAAGCTAACCAATACAATTAGTTCCTTTTCAGTTTTACATGGCAGCAGGAACTTGCTCTAAGGTTTAATGTGGTAATAAACAGATACTCAAAACAGCAGTCGATTATTGAACCTCACTGCCCTTCCATATCGCGACCTTGCACCAAAGAGAAAATTCATCGATGCCCCTAATTCATCTTGCTGGCCCTGAGAATTGTTGTCATCTGCACTGACTTCAACTTCTTTGTCACTACTTTCATCAAATTCTTGCTGGCCTTCGCTATTCTTAAGCTTCTGCAGGCTTCTCTCTTCCCTTTTCACTTTACATCTAAACTTGTTTTTCTTTCGAAAATTCTTGCCGCCTTTCCCCTCATTGAAAAAAACGCAACACAATCCACAATTGCTTCTTCCGTTGCTGGTGCGGGAGGGACGTTGGAACCATAGCTCGCAAACTGACCAAATGGTCGCCCTGGTCTGCGAGGTCAAAGTCTCGCTGGGCGTCAAGGGAGACGCTTGATCCCCTACCATGACATTTATTTTGTCACGCATTCCTCTAAATAACTTTGGCGTTTCGCGGCTATTCGAGATCAAGTGCTGCTCAAATCGAACAGAAACCGGAACCCAAAATAGGACAAAATAGGAAAAACCAAAAACCACAT